TGCCAGTGTTTGGGGGGAGAGGTGGGTAGGGAGTTGTTCAGTGGGCACAGAGGTTCAGTTTTTTTTCTAGAAAAAGTTCTAGAGATCTATTACATAATAACATGAACCACATATTTAAAATGGCTTCCCAGGGGGCACAGTGATAAAGAATGCAGGAGGTGCAAGAGACTCAGGTTCAATCCCTGGGTCTGCAAGGTCTCCTGGAGTAGGAAATGGAGACTCACTCTACTATTCTTGCCTGGAAAATTCCATGGACAGAGGAGACTGAAGGGCTACAGGCCATGGGGTCTCAAACCCAGCAACTAAGAAAAAAAAAACACTTAAAAATGTTCAGAATGGTAAATTTTATGTTACATTCTTCACCACAAACTTTTCTTTTTATTATGAAAACCATTCTTAGCTTGCAAGCCATACAAAACTAGTGGGCTGGATTTGACCAGAGGAGCATGCGGTTTGCCAATGCCTAATCTAATCTATGGGCATTTAAATTTCACAGCTGTTTCAATCATGCCCTATCCTTTTGCCCCAAGTTCAGTCCAGGTTCCTGCACTGCTTTTAGTTTCCTGTCTCTTTAGTCTCCTCTAATCTAAAAATCAGTTCTTCAACCTGTCCTTGACTTCTTTGAACTTAAGAACTTTTGAAGATTACCAGTTAGTTATTTTGCAGAGGGTCCTACAATTGGTATTGGTCTGGTATTTCCTCATAATGAAATCCATGTTATGCATTTCTATCAGAAGACCACATAATTGAAAGGACTGATACAGAAGCTGAAGTTCCAATACTTTCGCCACCTGATGCAAAGAGCCTTCTCATTGGAAAAGACCCTGATGCTGGGAAAGATTGAAGGCAAAAGGAGAAGTGGGCAACAGAGGATGAGATGGTTAGATAGCATCACCAACTGAATGGACATAATTCTGAGCAAATTCGGTAAGACAGTTGAAGGACAGACAAGCCTGGCGTGTTGCAGTCCAGGAGATCACAAAGAGTCGGACACGACTTAGCAACTGAACAGCAACAATCACAGAATTGATGTTCTGTTCTCAACGTACAGTATCAGAAAGCATAAGATAGTATGTTTGTCTCAAAACTCATGTTGACGTTGACCAGTTGTCTGTGTGGTTATTCCACTGTAAACCTACCTTTTCTCCTTTAATAAACAATTTGTGAAGTTATTTTAGATTTATTCTATTCCACCTCAAGTTTCACCTGCTTTTTTAGCTTCCATGATTTTTGCCTGAAAGAATTGTTAATACAATGATTGCAAAGTGGTGACATTCTAATTTCATCATTTTACTCACATTTATTAGTTAGTATTCTACTCTAGGGAAGATCTTCTCTTTTAATGTCTATGTATTTATTACTGGCTGTGTTGGGTCTATATTGTGGCACATGGGATTTTCAATCTTTGTTGAAGCATGCTGAATCTTTTTTAGCTGTAGCTTGCAAACTCTTAGTTGAGGCATGTGGAATCTAGTTCCCTGAGCAGGGATTGAACCTTGTTCGGCCCACACTGGGGGCACAGAGTCTTAGCCAGTGGACCACCAGGAAAGTCCCTGCAAGGAAGATCTTTTCCTTAGCTCTTCATTTATGAAGTCTTGGTAACTTATTCAATGGGTGATAGTATATTTGGAACCGAGCAGATCCCTGTGGGGACCCATGCCCCAGGTAAAAAGGACCTCCATGTCCCCTGCCTCTTGTTTGTAGAAAAACTGAAATCTCTCAGCCTTACCTGAGTTGCAAATAAGAAGGCTGCAACACTTAATGATTGGGACAATAGAATCACATAATTCTTCATGGTTAGATGCACATCCCTGAGTTGTTTTATAGACACCGTAACTGCCTAACAGAGGGAAAAAGCTAACTGCATGATGACCAGACTATAGCCATGATATAAGCTGCTCCAACTTGAGCAGTACTGAATCTATGGCTGCAGCAATTCCAAGAACTGACCTTGAGAGAATGTAACTAACACTATTGCTCACAATAGTCTATATCTCTGTGTCATCAAAATAATTGGACCTTGGAACTCCTTTGGTGGTTCAGTTGCTAAGACTCTGCACTCCCAGTGCAGGGGCCTGGGTTCAATCCCTGGTTGCAAAAGTAGATCCCACATACCACGACTGATAGTTTGCGTGGCACAGCTAAATATTCCTCATGCCACATGAAGATCAAAGATCCAGTGTGTTGCAGCTAAGACTGGGCATGACCTAATAAGTGAATAAATAAAAATAAATATTAAGAAAAATAATTGTAGGGTTTCCCCAGTGGCTCAGTGGTAAAGAATCTGCCTCTAGTGCAGGAGACATGGTGTACGGTCCCTGATCCAGGAAGATCTCACAAGCAGCAGAGCAACTAAGCCTCTGTGCCATAGCTATTGAGCCTGTGCTCTAGAGCCCAGGACTTGCAGCTACTGAAGCCCATGAGAGCCGTTGCTCCTCAACAAGAGAAGCACCACAATGAAAAGCCCATGCATTACATCTACCCAGTAGCCCCCACTTGCCACACTAGAGAAAAGTCTGCTTGGTAATGAATACCTAGCACAGCCAAAAATAAATAAATAAATAAATAAATAAATAGAATCTTTTAGAAATTGTTGCTTGTTCTGTCCATTAATGTAAGAGAGCAACTAAAATTGTCAACAGAGGTGCTACACACCCATGCCAACATTTTCTACTCTAAGAATATGCTGCTGTTATGTCATCCTGAAAAAGTTACAGAAGACAGACCTTTGCCCATAATTCCACAGAAATGGAGTAATGTTCTGACAAGTGGGGATTTGTAAGCAGCTTTTATCAGGAAAGAACTCTCTGCAGGAAACCCCTCTTGTCTTGTCACTTTGGCAAAGCTATATTGTATCAAACCATTAATCTGTCACTCCATGCTCTACTCATCTCCAGCCCAAGGACACCTTTCAAATCTTTGGACTCATAATACCTTATGTAACTTGTTAGTTCCTTCCATAGATGAAAGAAGTAGAAATGAATAATAAGTAATTGACAGATGATCAGATCTCTTCCCTAGTTTTACCCTCAGTAATTTCGTGTATAAATTGTGTGAACAATATCCAAATTGGAAGGTAAAATAGAATACTGAAAAGTATAGGGCCTGGGAGCTTGTTAACTCAGATTGAAATCTCAACCCTGTGACTGACTACTTACATGAAGAGTCTAAGTTATTTTACCTCTTGGAATTGCAGTTTCCTTAGGTTCTGAGGAAGATAAAAAGAACACGGCTGCCATGGACTATTATGAGGACTAGAAATACTAGGTTTCAAGAGCTGGTCTAGGGTGAGACTCATGGTCGGTCCTCCACCAGCACATCTCCTAGTACTGTAGGGAGAGGCGTGAATGTTCTCCTCCCAAATACTGTGTCCTTTGTGTTTTCAGGGGTTCTTTCAATTAAAAGAACAATAATCCTGCCCAGTTTTATAATTATTTCCCAAGCATTATCTGACCAGGCCAAAGCAATGGAAGTGGTAGAGAAGGACAAGGAAATGAGTGTTATTTCCCAAGCATTATCTGATCAGGCCAAAGCAATGGAAGTGATAGAGAAGGACAAGGAAATGAGTGTCTACTTTGAAAGTGCATGGCCAAAGAAGAACAATGGAAGGAATCTCCCCAAACAGATAACAAGGGCTTTTTCTTCTCACACTATGCACATTTATATTGTCTGAATTGTTTGACACGAGGCATTCTATTAGAACTTGTGTGATTTATTGTTTTAAGTGAATTGTACCCTCAGCTAGCTGGATCGCAGCTCTCTGAAATCTAAGGCTGGGGTTAAAGTTTATCTCTGTAAAGAAAGGGAAAATCTTTTCCCTTGAACTTTTACCTCACTGTCTAACTCTCAGTGTGTGATAACAACATTAACCTCATCACCATGACTTGACAAATCTCATTAAGTCTGACAGAATCACAATAACTAGGATCCTTTCTGACTCGGTGTGGCCAGAATTTATCCATACCTTCTATTTGAAATCAAGCAAGTAAATACTTTCATAATTTAAAAAAAGTGAGTAAATGTTTGAAGGACACTTTGTTCCAGGTGCTTTATTGCTGTAATTCTAATTCCTTTCCAAAGACTCTTCAGACCTGATGTTTGCTAATGCTTCCAATATAAAGTAACAAAGAGTGTCTGTCTCATCTTTGATTCTCTGAAACATGTTTTGTTTACAACTCAATATTCATTAAGAAGCCAAGACAGAGAAGAGGGGAGGGAAAATGCTTGGGGGGGCTTTTGCTACTTGCCAGCACTTTGTTCCCCATGTCACACTTAATCTCCACAACAATCCTGCTTAAGAGTGTGGTGGAGATGACAGATGTGTCCCTAAAACTCACTCCACATATGCCAGGTAAGCTTTGGGAACATAAACCAAGATAGAGGGGACTTCCTGCCCAGGTGCCATGATAATCCTCTCTTCATCTGGAAGAAGGACTGACTTTGCAAATTCTCACTAGGGAAACCGAGAGGCACCACTTCAGCCTGCTCCATTGGCAGGAGGTCAGGGCTGGATTCAGTGATTCCAGAAACTCAAAAAAACCACTATGGCTTCAAAAGCACTTTATGTTTCCATGTAACAGGGAGTCAAAAGTTGGGAGTCCAGAGCTCACGCAACTACTCAGGAAAAGAGATTTCTTTTCTCTTCATCTTCTGCCCTCTATCATGAGTGGCTCCGTGGTCACAAAATGTCTGTTATACCACTGGGAAGAATTTCCACATTTCAGGCAGCAAGAAATAAAAAGAAAAAAAGATGCATGTAGATTGAGCTTGCCCCTTTTAACAGGAAACCATAACTTTCTCATTAATTTCTGTGCCTTTCAAAACATCCCCATTCCCTGCTCTTCTCCTCCTGATACCATAGAAAGCTATTGCAATGTATTTAATGGGTCAGTTATATTTGTTGTAAACATCCTTGCAAATTGTGCACTAAGAGCTCATATTTTTAGTTTATAGAAATTATATTGCACCACACATGACTTTCTATTCCTTCTCTCTTTCAGCGTTGTGTTTTCAGGATCCATCCAGGTTGCCTTATGTTCATCTAACCCAGTGCTTCTGAAGGCTGCATGGTACCTCTTTGTGTGGGTCCACCACACTTTACCCATACACTCTGTTATGAGCTGAATTGTGTTCTCCCAAAATTCATGTGTTGAAGCCCCAACCTCAGAACCTGAGCATGTAATAATTTTTGGAGATAGGACTTTAACGAGGTAATTAATTTTAAGAAAGATTCTACGTGCAAGGTCTAGTTCACATATTTAGAAACAGGGCCTTCAAAGAGATGATGAAATCCAACTGAAACTGTTAGGCGGGGTCCTAATCTAATAGAATTTCTGTCCTTGAAGAAGGCGAGAAGATACTTGGGATTATGTGCACTGAGAAAAGGTGTATATATACACACATATGCCCAAAAGGCTCTGACGCCAGTAATGACATTCTTATGCATCATGTGTTACATACACTATGTATGTGGATCATGCCCCCCAAATAATTGTAAGTTCAAAGAGACCAGGGTCTCCTCTTGCTAGTTCCAAGTTTCCCATGATGTGCTAATGAATTTGTTGCTACAAGAAGAATATGTCACTTAGAATATGAAATTAATGTATTGTATCTATTGTTGTTTTGATGCAGGGTAAAATTCAGTCCCATGAAGACATCACTGAAGGATCTGAAAATATGCCAGCTGCATTTATGGGAATGCTGAAAGGAAAGACTTTGGGGAAGGCAATAGTGAAAGCATGAACAAAAACGACACATCTGGATGATTCCTTAGTCTCTTTTTAATCATTTAGCAAAATCTGTCCTGTCTTTATGACATAAAAACAGTCATGGTAATGCATTTGATCTACTTAATAAAATACATTGATGTAAATAATTAGCAATAGAGAGTGGAAATTTCATACTGAACAATGGCCAAGTGAGATTACTACCTGCTACAGCTCTTTCTGGGTTATGGTAGAAAATAATGGCCTTGTAGTCCAAAAGTTTACTGCCTCTGTAACCTTACTTAAAATTTTTCATCTGCAAAGTGAGGACAGTAACATCTGCATGACATACATATCATACATCAGTTTATATCACCAGCATAACACGTGGCATATACTAGGTACTCAGTGAGTGTTTAGCTACCTCCTGGCAAAAATCAGTGAGTTCAAAGTCAAAATTACAACCACTATGGCTGATGGTTCCGTTCAGTTCAGTTCAGTTCAGTCATGCAGTCATGTCCAACTCTGCTACCCCATGGACTACAACACACCAGGCCTCCCTGTCCATCATTTACTCCCAGAGTTTAGACAAACTCAAGTCCATTGAGTCGGCAATGCCATCCAACTGTCTCATCCGCTGCTGTCTCCTTCTCCTCCCACCTTCAATCTTTCCCAGCATCACTGTCTTTTCAAATAAGTCGGATCTTTGCATGAGGTGGCCAAAGTATTAGAGTTTCAGCTTCAGCATCAGTCTTTCCAATGAATATTCAAGACTGATTTTCTTTGGGATGGACTGGTTGGATCTCCTTGCAGTCCAAGGGACTCTCAAGAGTCTTCTCCAACATCACAGTTCAAAAGCATCAATTCTTAGACACTCAGCTTTCTTTATAGTCCAACTCTTACATCCATACATGAGTACTAGAAAAACCATAGTCTTGACTAGATGGACATTTGTTGGCAAAGTAATCTCTCTGCTTTTTAATATGCTGTCTAGGTTGATAATAACTTTTATTCCAAGAAGCAAATGTCTTTTAATTTCATGGCTGCTATCACCATCTGCAGTGATTTTGGACCCCAAAAAGATAAAGTCTGTCACTGTTTCCACTGTTTATCCATGTATTTGCCATGAAGTGATTGGACCAGGTGCCATTATCTTAGTTTTTAGAAAGTTGNTCATTCAAATGGGTATATCTCTCCTTTTCTCCTTTACTTTTTGCTTCTCTTCTTTTCACAGCTATTTGTAAGGCTTCCTCAGGTGGCCAGTTTACTTTTTGCATTTCTTTTTCTTGGGGATCCTCTTGATCCCTGTCTCCTGTGCAATGTCACAAACCTCCATCCATAGTTCTTCAGGCACTCTGTCTATAAGATCTATTCCCTTGAATCTCTTTGTCACTTCCACTGTATAATTTTAAGGGATTTGATTTAGGTCATACCTGAATGGTCTAGTTGTTTTCGCTTCTTTCTTCAGTTTAAGTCTGAATTTGGCAATAAGGAGTTCATGATCTGAGCCACAGTCAGCTCCTGGTCTTGTTTTTGCTGACTGAATAGAGCTTCTCAATCTTTGGCTGCAAAGAATACAATCAACCTGATTTCGGTACTGACCATCTGGTGATGTCATGTGTAGAGTCTTCTCTTGTGTTATTGGAAGAAGGTGTTTGCTATGAACAGTGTGTTCTCTTGGCAAAACTGTATTAGCTTCTTCCCTGCTTCATTCTGTACTCCAAGACCAAATTCAGCTGTTACTCCAGGTATTTCTTGACTTCCTATTTTTGAATTTCAGTCCCCTATAATGAAAAGAACATATTTTGGGGGTGTTAGTTTTAGAAGGTCTTATAGGTCTTCATAAGACCATTCAACTTCAGCTTCTTCAGCATTACTGGTCAGGGTATAGACTTGGCTGATGGTTACACAAGGAGAAATAACTATTGCTGATGAACAAGGGCCCTAAGGAAGCCCCCACTGGTCCTCTACCAATGGATCTAACGTGACAGATCAAGGAAGGAATCTATCATTCACAACAGTCACAAAAATGATAACACATGGAAGTATTTATAAGCCTACAAAAATGTAATAGATGATTATGAAGAAAGCTTTAAAACATCACCGAGGAATATAAAAGAAGACTGAACATTTGGAAAGGTTACCATGCTCTTGCACTGGAAGATTCACTATCACTAAAATGTTATTTCTGTTGATCAGTTCTACTACCAAATAGAGGAGGGATTAAATTGTAATCCAACGGAAAAGATAGAGGAAAAAGTGTGTGATTGTGTGTGTCTGTGTGTGTTAAAACCTCTGGAAAGATCAAGTAAACTACTGATAATATGGTTTATCCCCAGAGAAGAGCAATAGTGGAAGAATTTAGAAAGCCACTGCCTCTGCTCAGAGAAAGACAGGCTCAGAAAAGACCTGAGAAAAGCTTAGGCTTTCATCACAGGCTGATCCCTGGCAGAGATGCCCTAAACTATTTTACCAATTCTGAGAAGAGGGAGGACCTGATGTCTAGAGCTACTGCACTACACTAGTCCCCCATTTACCCATGGTTTTGCTTTGTGCAGTTTGTTAATAGCTCTCAACTGCAGCCCAAAGATATTAAATGGAAAATTTCAGAAATAAACACTTCCTAAGTTTTCCTATTGTACACCATTCTGAGTGGTGTGAGATTTCTGTTGTATCCTGCTGGGGATCCCCAACAGTTAATTAACACCTTCTACTGCCAACATTCACTCATCAGCATCATCATGGCTCAATGATCCAGGATCACCAAAAGCAGATGGTCCTCCCTACGACACAGTATCCAAAGGTTAATAGTAGCCTAATTGCTTGATCACATTGCCTACATCTTTCACCTCATTTCATTACATAGGTATTTATCACTTCACATCATCATCATGCTAAGAAGACTGAGCACATTGTAATAAGATATCTTGTAAGAGAAACCACATTCACAAGATTTTTACTACAGTATATTATAATAACTATTTTTTATTTTATTGTGCCTAATTTATATTTTTAAGATTTAATTTATGTGTGGCTGCACTAGGTCTTCATTAATGCCTACAGGATTCTCCAGTTAAGGTGAGCAGGGGCTACCCTTCATCATGGTACACTATATCTACCTCTTGGGGCAAAAACCGGGCCAAGCATTAGTACCAGCAGAGAACCCATTTCACTCGGTACCATGCATGGACCCTAGCCCAGCTGAAGGTCAGTGTGGGAGGGTTACCTATACTGAGGCGGGCAGATGTGGCCAGCCCCAAGTGCACTGTCCATCCAATATCCAGGCAGGTGTGGTCACCCGTACAGCCCATATACCCACAGAGTGCTATAAGGGGCAAGGATTATACTATAGGCCTCTTGATAACCCTCCTCGAGACTAACTTTAGCACAGAGGGACAGGGGTGTTCCACATTGCTGGCTCAGTACCGTCCCTCTTCTCTACTCAGAAGAGTGCGAATCCTCATAATTCAGCCCATGCAAGCAGGAAAGCCTTTCCCAAAGTCCATGTTCTCCCTGGAGGCGAGGCATGTGCTGCCATTTCTTCACATCTTGTATAATCAGGCGCTTAGTCTCATTGCAGTCAGCCATCTTCTAATATGACCGGAAGGTGCTTTGTTTCTGGGTCTAGTTAGTCCCAGTCGGAGGCTGAATGTGCCAGGCAAGCCCCAGAGCAGCCCCCACAGGGACTTCGGTGCAGACCCAACATGCCAACCCGTTCTCTACCGTTACATAGGCGTGAGCTCAGTCTACAATCATATTGGCCATGACACATGTGGATCTCATGTTGCAGAACCCATGGGGCCAGAAGAGCCAACCACCACGTGTGGGGTGCCTTTATCTTCCATGGCCAAGTCCAGGCCACCGCCTGCCCCTGTGAAATCCTGGTCAGAGCTGGCATCAGGATATTGCCTCAGGTTCCGTATCCAGGCCTTAACAGAACGTCTTGTTACGGGCAAGTTTATACGTGTGGCATCACGGTGCAGGAGAGCCTCCACAGGGCCAACTCCACCCCTGTGGGGTTTCTCATTAAGGACACGCACAGGGAGTTATCCGATTTCGAAAGGTAAGGACACAGTCTTCAACTTAACTCTTTGGCCACCACAGACATCAGCGTGTGCACTAGGACCAGGGAACCGCTCTGACTTGTAAAGAAGCTGCATTCGACCCAGCATCAACTAGAGCCATTACTGTCTGTACATTAGCCTGTGGCCAGTGAATAACAAGCTCTACATGGGGCCTCAGGTCCCCACTTGGGCTTTTCAGGCAGACACCTTAAGCCTAAGGTGTCTGAGAAGAGTTGAGATCCAAGTACTACATTAACCTTTCATAGGAAGAGAGACAGTTCCTCCATCATTGAAGGAAGAAAAGAAAATATGGATATAGATGCAAAGAGTGTGTTAGCCGCTCAGTCGTGTCTGAATGTTTGCGACCCTATAGACTGTAGTCCCACAGTTTCCTCTGCACATAATAATCTCCAGGCAAGAATACTGCAGTGGGCAGCCATTCCCTTCTCCATGAAACTTCCTGACCAAGGGATTGAACCCAGGTATCCTACATTGCGGGCAGATGGTCTACCATCTGAGCTACCAGGGAAGAAGCATAAAAGTTGGTAGCTTTGACCAGAAAAAGACAAGGTCTCCAGTCTAATGGCTTCTATTTTCTCAATGAAGCATAAGGTAAGAGTATCTCTTGAGGGCTGAGGTGTGAGAATAGAAATGAAAATATAAAGTTGTAACCACAGTGTGTGAGAAAGCACGCTTACTGGAGAATCCTGGATTTGCTGGGCAGGGTTAAGTGTGCATATACATTGTCTGTAATAATGAAAGTAAAACCAGCTAGTCTGATTGTGTGGTTTTTCACAATGTTCAGCTGTTCATGGGGAGGAGTTGAAAAGTCAATAATTGGTTTTATTTTGGGATTTATGCCAAGATGATTGGTGGACGAAGAAAAAAGCAAAGAAGCTGAAAGCATTTGCCAGGGAATAGTTTTGATGAAGCATGTTGGAATCTTACCTGAGCTGGACGAAAAATTAATGTCTACTATCATTATGGTCATTAAGTCCCAAAAGTCAAAACCAGGGAAAGAAGAGCACATAAAGAATTTCTTGGTGGTTCAGGGGTTAGGACTCCATGTTCTCACTGCCGAGGGCCAGATTGAAACCCTGGCC